CAGGCCAAAAAATGGAAAGGGGTAGAGAAATATAAAGAGGGTTACTCACAGCAAACTTAACTCCAGATCACCATGAATCTTCGCGTGTAGCTCGACATGGATATCGATATTCAGGTCCAACCGCAGCTTCAGGGTATCCTTCTTACCCCCACCACCACCACCACCTGCTACTCCGCCAGCTACTCCTCCTAGAGTGTTCGATACGGCGCCACCAAGATTTCCTGCAGTCTGGCCTACTTGTCCCGTGGTTTGTGATAGTGTGTTTCCCAGGTCACCAACACCTCCCAGACCACCGAGGGGGCCGCCGCCACCTTGCTGAAGCTGCTGGTTTTTCTTCGCACGGCGGCGGGAGCGTCCGCGGTTGTTTCGGCGGGGTGGGGGAGAGCCGAAGTCGGTTTCGGTGGCGGATTCGTCTGATTCGGCAACGACACGATCTTTCTCGCCGGCCATTATGTTTGTATAGGGTTGAGTTGATTTAGATGTTGATCTTGTGATTTAGGAGGGCTAAAGATTGAGGAAAAGAGTTCTGGAGGGAGTGGGCTCTTATGAAATGGGTTCGTTTTTTTTTTTTTAAAAACTCCGTAAGGTTTGAAAATGTGGCGGGCGAGTATGAGTTTATAAGAGAGACCTAAGTTTTAGACCTCTTGCTCTGTTTCTTGGAACTCGCACTTCACACTTTTCCTGTTTTTAGATACTCTATCAATTCCGTACCAGACCCTGTCGTTTTCCAGGGTGGGTTACGCTCAACATAGCTTGTCTGTGTGCAACTACCATGGCCGTTGACCATACGCAAACCCCGCGATCCTTCTCCGTCATATCGCTCACGATCTCCAGGTATTGCGTATCTTTACATCACCAACGAACTGGGGGGGTTTCGTTGATCAAATTAATTAATTAATAGTTCTTGGCAGGATTTGGGTTGTGATGGGTAGGGTAGTAGACCCCTGCCACATGACGTTTACGGGTTGACAGCTGCAGCCACAGCGGCTTCCAAGAAAGCGCCAGCTGGGCCGGGGTGCGGACTAAACTCTGTCGGACCTGGCCGACATCGGGTACTAAAAGTAGAAATGACCATTTAACCTGTTTTTCAATCTGATACTGATAGGATTCCTGTCTGGCTAGACCCACCTCAAGAGGTTCTGTTATCAATAGTAGCTCTGGTTAGTTCCTCCAGGTAAACTCAGCACAAGTCAATTCTCATATCGATGTTTACCTCTCTGTAAGCTTTCGAAAAAGAGTACCACTCCGATTCCACATATCGCAATGGCATCCATGATCGGCCTGCTGGCGGTAATGGCCATCCCCGTAACCACCAGCGTAGCCCAAGGCATCAAAGGTGACCGAGAAGAGAAAGCCAAAGCCAAGCTCCCACCATACTTCACCCTCTTCTCCGAATGCAAAACCAGCCCGCTGCACTCGCACAAGCAGCTCGTTCTCCGTGACAACAACGTATGTACCCGTATCTCACACCCTCTAGGTTCCCTTCATTTCTAACAAAACCAAAACCCAGTGCTACCTTAACACCACCTCATCCACCACCGCTGGCCATCCCTTTGGCGGGTACATCCGACTCTTCATAAACAGCGAGACGCCCGCGCTCGTCTCGTCAACGTCTTTTGACCCGCCAGCACTCGGCTGGTTGTATGTAGACAAAGAGACAAGGCGGGTCAAGTACGGCAACCGCGCCGAGGCAGCGGAAGGACTTTTTGGGCCCTGGACGTATGATGCGTTTGGACTAAACATGGAGGACTGGTATGGGTTTGTTGCGGTGGAGGAGGACGGAGAGTGGGCGATGTATGCGGAGGTTAAGGGGCAGGAGGGGAAGATTGAGGGAGTAAAGGTGAGGCTGGTGCAGGAACCGATTGAGGAGTTGATTCCGACTAAGAAGTAGGGAGTAGACGGCGGTGAATAAATAATACCTATTTGATTAGTAATGAAATGGGCTTGTATATTTCTGATTATCGTTGCTGGTGTCTTGTGCAGGACGAGACCTATGAAGAGCTTACTAAGAAGAAGATCTGGTTATGTAGCTACTATACGTAGAGTGCAGGTCAGGCCTATGGTACGGGTCTTATAAGCAAACCTATTACCGCGGGTATGGTCAGTAGAGGTTTGATAAACCAGCCGATACATGGATCTGTCTGGACCAGGCCGAAAATAGACCTCGAGTGCTCGTCAGCTCTAGTCAATATTACACGACTCGACAAAAACATTTCCTATTCTTTATGAGCAGATCAAACAGTCTCAAATGAACTGTTTTTATTTCATCCTAGCGCAGTTTAGCATAAGCTTTTATTAGGATTTATAGATAGTAATCTAATGCTCGGTGAAACCAATTGTGAGGTGTGCGAGTTCAAACATATGTATACCAAAATCGCTGCAATCATATCCTCGTCACACTGCAATCACATCAGCTTGGGCCAATGATGATTAAGAGCCCGTTCAGAAACAGTCCAAACCGGCGTTTAGAGGGGTGAAAACTCCGTTTTAACGACCTTTTTCTTAGGCATTGACCCTAATTGAAAACTCCGTTTTGTCATGTTGCCGAACGGGCCCTAATGTATGTTTGCTCCTGCCTCTTGACAGTACCTATATAGAATGTTGGTGAATATATGGACCCACTAGTCCAAGTCTTTTCCCAACGTGGACCGGCCATAGAAACCCCTAATTGCTGGCCATGGCCATGGCATAAGTCTTTCTGACACAGTCATTGAAATCCTTAAGACTACCCCCACGAGGCCATGTCATCTCTAAGCAAAATGCCACTTCAGTCTTTGTCCGTCAATGGAGTGTAAGTGACTAAAAGTGGGGCAGAATAAGCACTGAGGCTTTTAAAAAAGACCGGTGCTTAGTATCATTCAGTTACCCGTCGAGCCAGAGGAAGAATGTTCTTGGTAGGCACTAGAGCCATTGTCAAATCCACACCAACACCAACTCCAGGAAACCACTAACATAGAGTCGAGGGTGAGCTGCGTGACCGACGTAATGGACCGGACCACATACATGCAGTACCCACGATCACCGGCCCAGCCACTAATGACATACACACGTCAAAACCTTCACCTATCTAATCCCAAGATCGTGAATCTCTAGGGCAGGGTGAGATACAACATGCTCCTACCTATACCGTAGGCTCGAGGACCACATTCTCAACACATCCAGCACTTTGTTCTGAACGTACATATGTGCCGGTCAGCTAGTGGAGCTTTTGGATATGCAGATACAGGATACAGCCCAACGTCTAGCAGGCGGCGTACTACACAAGCAAAGACCCCCTCTGCAAGAATCTACCCACACATAAAGAAGAGGAATCCTCTCTACGCGCCCAGAACTAACCAACAGTCGATTAGCCAATCCATTCATAGAGCCGACAACCAACCCGCATGTCTTTCTAGGGGACATCCACAGCGTCGGCAATCCACAGCCTACAACTCAAGAAGCAAGACGTACCTACAGACAAGACTAACACAACACAGCGATCATTCCGGCCTTCACCATAACCACCCGACGCAAGATCTAGTTCCTCCAGCTCCAACCAGCAACAGCCAGACCAACACTGTGGTTGTAGTACTCGGCGGTCGTCCGTGCACGTGCACCTCCAAGCCAAGCAGCAGTACCCAACCAGTGAGTTGGGGTACAGCTTGCCAACCTGTGCAGATCAATGGACATATTATGTCTAACGTCTCTCGCAACCCTCTGTTCATGATGTTGAGGGAAGGAGCGGGGGCTGAGGTTGGCGGGGAGAAAAAGACGTGTCTTACCCAGACCGTCTAGCCAGTCGACATAACCGGCCATACGCATATACGCCATACTAACGTACCTCCAGCGCTAGCTATATCTACAGAACACATAGCTAAACCGTCACAACCGCCTATAGCTACAGCACTCTCACCAACACATGCATCAACGTCTGCTACCGCTGTCTCACCGACGAGGAGCAGCGGGCTGTGCATACAGAGCTTCGCTTACACAGTTAACTACATATGTACCCGTGTACGTTGCCTATGAGTCAGCGGATTACCAAGTTCCCAACGGTTAACACTGGGCTCAGTCATACACTATCACTCGTTAAACTATACCTTACCCTGAGGGTTCAAAGCAACCGGCAACATATTAGACGCCTTCACTGGGGTATGGTGGTGCTCACTGGGGTATGGTGCAACAGCTAAGAACGACAAGAATGGGCACAAAAAATACGAGGAATATCAGCAAATAAAAGCATATAGATACAATTCACTGTGCAAAATAAGGACTTCTGTTGATTTTTCTCGAATTCTCCATGCTCATTTTTGACGCCCTTGAACGTTGCACCATACCCCCCGTGAGAACCATACCCCCCGTGAAGGCGTCTAGCAGTCAAATTTACGGCCAACCCAACTAAACTCCCTAATACTATTAGTAACCTTGGCTATACTATCTTGCAGACCCTGCTCATAGGGAAAAAAAACCTCGAATAGACGATTAAATCTATTTTCACTTCATACTATGTCGTGTGGACTAGCCCATCTAGCTAGCTAGGCCGCCAGTTTATTAATGCCTCGTCTTCAAACTTCCCGGTGGGAAGACCTATCCGGCGCGACGGATGGCAAATCAAGGCTGATCATATACTAGCAAGAAAGAAGCTACACAAATATCAAATATCTCATTAAGCCAAGGCCTAAGCTAGCCAGCACCTAGGCTCAAGATAAAAGCACATCAAGATATATAACGACATTGCAACTAGATTCGTCAACCATATAAATCACCACCTCAACACACACAACACACACACAGAAAAGATGATACAGCGAACTCCTGTACATTTATTCCATCCCTCTGCTAACTTACAGCCCCGGCCAGACTAGCTACAGACAGCCACAGGAGAGAAAAACGAGAGCCGGAAGGTAGTATAAAAAAGCAACAAAAAAGAAAAAAAGAAATAATAATAATAATAAAAAAAGAATGCTGATAACGCCATATCTAGTATTACAACCCCCCCTCCCCCTCCCACCACCCCACCACTACTCCCCCTCCTCCACCCTCCCCAGCGTCCCCGCACTCCCACTCCCCCCACCCGCCCCCGCCGCCTTCCTGCTCCTCGCCCCCTCCTTCAGCCTCTCCCACTTCGCCTTCAACTTCTCCAGCATCGCCTTCAACTTCTCATTCTCCCTCCTACACGCCTCCGCCTCCCTCCTCCACTCCTCCGCCTCCCTGCTCGCCGCCGCCGCCTCCACCCTCACCCCCTCCATCTCCCTCCTAACCGCCTCCATCTGCCTCCTAACCGTCTCCAACTCCCTCCTAGCCGCCTCCGCCTCCTCCTCCACCGCCATCGCCCCCACACCGTCGTCCTCCCCCTCCTCATACGGCACATGCATCCACGACCTCCTCTGCACCTGACTCAGCAGCTCCCTCTCCCTCTCCGTCGCGCCGCCGCCCCCGGCCCCCAGCGCCAAAATGCTGTTCTTGAGCGCACACTCGCTCTCGCGCGTCTTGCGCTGCCAGCTCTGCATCGTGCGGCTCATGTGGTCGATCGTCTGGCGCAGCCCCGTGTTCTCCAGCTGCAGCTCCTCCTTCGTCTTCCTGCCGGCATCGCCGCGCCGCACCACGCCCGCGTAGCTGAGCGTGCCGCCCGACACAGGCACGACATAGAAGCTCTCTGCGCCGGCGGCGGGGCCGCCGCGGCTGGCGGTCCACCCGCGCGGGAGGAGCGCGGGCGGGTCGGCGTCGGGCGCAGGGGAGGCCGGGTCGTCGGTGAGTGGGAGGCCGGCGAAGGCGAGCGAGGCGGCGAAGGGGGAGCCGATGCGCGAGACGAGGGTGTTGAGGGAGGTGTAGAACTTGGAGAAGGGCTCGTCTGTGGAGGTGGGGCCGAGGTCGGGGGCCGAGGCGCGGGTGGAGAGGCGCGGGGTGGTGGATGCGCGCTTGGGCGGTGGGGGGTGCGTGGGGTCGTCTGGTGGGAGGAGGGTGAGCGGGTTTGTGGTTGGCTTGGAGGAGGAGGAGGAGTGGTAGTCGTGGGGTGTCGGCAGTGTCTGGGAGCGCTCGGGGACTAGGGATCGCCGCCGGTTGGGAGAGGTGGCGCCGCCCCCTCCGCTGCCGAGACGCGACTGCTGCGGTATGCCCCGCGCCGAAGCAAGGTTCGTTGCGAGCGAGGAGGTGCTCTTCTGCAGCCTCGGCGGGATGGGGGCCGTGCCGGTATTCGCGAACGGGAGTGACGCTGGCGGTAGGATCTCTCTTGCCCCGCCGCCGCCGGGCCTCGACCTCGAGGCGGCCTCGGCTTCGTCGGGTAGGTTCTCGGTGGAGCCGGCGCCCTCGACGACGGTCTCGAGGGCGGCAGCGGTGGCGCCGAAGCGCTCGACGGGGCGTTCGGCCTCGAGGCGGAGGCGGGCGCCCCAGCGGTCGTGCTCGGTGGAGAGGAGGTCGAGCGTGCGCAGGGCTTCGGGGTCCTTTGTGAGTTTTGCGGCGGCGGCGAAGGAGGTGGAGGCGAGGGCGTGGGAGGAGGCGGCGGCGAGGAGCGTGCTGGGGGAGTGTGGGGGCGCGGAGGAGCGGAGGATGTTGGATGCTGTGGAGGCGTGCTGGTGTGCCTAGGAGGGGGAGGGGGAAGATGTCAGCTATGAGCGGGGGGAGAGGGGGGGTATGATGACACTGTACCAGTGTCAAAGGTGAGTCCTCCATGGCTTGTCTCTGTCTGTGGGTGCGGGGGGGCGGGGGCGGGGTGTTCAGCGGTGTCCGAGAGGTGCAGAAGCTTTCGCTGGGGGATATCGACAGTCTAGGGAGCTCTGCACATTGTCTATGGGGCGATGCTGGCGGTGGTTGGCGATGTCTCGAGCTCTCTTTGTGAGGATCTCCGTCGATGTCTGTTGTTGTTGTTGCTCAGCTCGGTGGTTCGCCTGGTTCCGTGCGCCTCACGAGGGTGTCTCAGCCCCCATGCAAAGCCACTGCTTGGCGCTCTGGGGAGATGGATACTACGCAGGGCAGCAGTAACAGTAGCACCGCACGGGGTGTTTTTTGTATGGGACTCGAGATCGAGGTTGGCTGACCCATTTCAACTGGTGGTATAGAGAAATACTATTGCGATTCGATCCTTAGAGATGAGCCAGGCCATTTGCCAATGTCGAGGTCATCTGGCTCATCGATGTCAATAACGGCCAGATGACACGATAGAGCCCATACGAACCATGAATTACTAACTAATAGAGTGCGTGTTGATCATGAGAAGCGGGCAACAAGAAAAACTACCTCCTCACTCCTAAACGTTGTCTAATTATTTAACAGCTATATTCCAAGAACGAACTGCCGAGTGATAATCCGTGAACATATTGCAATCTAAACTCTAGTCAGGATGCCCAACTCGTCTCGACACACTCCGCCAAAAGGAAAATCAAACGCTTAAGAGTTGTGATGAAACCCCTCCCATGCAACAGACCCGGCACCCCAAATGATACATATGCTTCCGTTGGGCAAGCTGTTAATAAGTTGTATAGGGGCATGAGTAATGATGGGCACGAGACTCACAGTCCCGAGATTTCAGTCTCGATCGAGACTTGACGAGACTACGTAGCTACCCGGGACAAGACGAGACCTCCGAGTGTTGTGAAATGATCCAAAGCAAGGCTTCCTCATGCTCGGACTTCTAAAAATTGGGTGCGCACTTTGGCTCCGAACCTTATCCACCATTTTTTTTAGTACGACGTCTTATCTCAAATCCAGATTGAGTTTAGCTTATATCGTCTCGAGATTCGTCTCGAGACTTACCTCAGGTCTCAAGACTTTCAAGACTATGATGGGACGAGACAGGACTTAGTGCAAAATGGTCTCGTCTTGTCTCGTACCCATCATTAGGCATGAAAAGAAGGCTAGTACTCGCAGCACTCAAATACTCATAACATCCTCCTTAAATAGTGATAAGTAAATGCGAAAAACAAAATCGATCGCAATCGTAAATTGCCAACAATCATAATTCATAATAGTAACAAGTTATGAAGGCGTAAAAAAAAAAGAAAAACAGGCTAGCACTCAACCATTCATCATTTGGGGCCTCTATAGCTACGTATACTTCGTAGCCAAACAACAACAAAAGGTGCGCTAGTACTCGCAACACCCAAATACTCATAACCAAACCTACATGTAGCTAAATCTATGCCAACAACCGCCAACACCACTACTGTAAAAATCCAAGCCAGCACCCCCAACTAGATACCCGCACCCTCACCCTCTGTCTGCACCCCCCAATCCCTCCTTCCCACTCCCACTCCCACTCCCACCCCCTCCACACCCATATACAGCCCCGCCGCCACCACATCCGAGAACCTCTCAAACACATCCCCCGGGTCCCTCCCCATCATATCCCCCAACCTCTCAAAGTCCACCCCGCCCTGCATGCTCTCTACCAGCAGCATCCTCTCCGTACTATTCCACGGCCCCGTTCTCAATACCTCCGGGGGACAGCGCCGCTTGTGCGCATGCGTGATCTTGAGCGACGAGGTGGAGGCCTCAGAGGAGGTGGAGGTAGTGGACGACGAGGAGGGCGTGGAAGACTGAGAGTGAGTGGGTGTCGAACTGGGGCTAGGCGGCGGCCGCTTCCGGGGGTTGCGCGGCGGAGGAGGGGTGGGGGTGGGAGAGGATGAGGAAGAAGAGGAAGAGGAGGAGCTGATGAGCGAGATTATGGGCTAGAGGGAGGGAGGGAGGGCGGGTTAGTATAGATAATTTGTCTGTTTCTTAAAATCAACCCCGATACGTAACCCCCCGGCCCGGAAGACAGAAAAAAAACCTACCACGCACCCTTGCGAAGGATCAAACGGCCCCATCCTCTCCACCCTCTCCGCCATTCTCCCCATACTCTCCACCATTCTCCCCATACTCTCCGCCACCCTCTCCCCCACGTCCTCCCCACTCTCCCCCATCATCGTCCGCTTAAAACATGCCCCTCTACTCCTCCCCCTTTCCCTCAAGCTCCCACCACCCCACGAACACTGGCCCTATGCCCCGCAAAAAACAAAAATCAGCAAACCAATCATTACCCGCCCCCCCCCCCCCCCAAAAAAAAAAAAAGAGAGAAAAAGTAGAGGAAAACACTCACATCAAGCTCATCGTCCCCATCTCCACCCCCATCGCTCTCAAAGCCCATAAACGCAGAGCTATCGCGGTCGTCGCGGTCCCTCTGCGCCGGCGGGGTGGGCACGCGGGAGCGGCGCCCGTAGAAGTCGTATTCGTACGCTGTTGGTGGTGGTGGTGGTGGGCGCTGGGGGGAGCGGCCGCGGCCGGGGTTGTAGGCGGCGGGAAGGGTGGTGGGGCGGGTCGCAGAGAGGGGGCGGGCGTTGCGGGCTTTAGGCGTGGTTTGGACGTTGGGGGTTTGCGGAGTGGCTAGTTGGATCACGGGTACGAACTCTAGCTCTGACTCTTCTGGGGTGCTTTCAGGTTCGGCCACGGCTGTAGGCTGCTGGTACGCAGGTTGTGCTAGCACCGGTACCGGCACCGGTACGGTTTGTCCCATCTGATCATGACCGGTAGCTGCGGGTTGTAGCACGGCGCCGGTGGGAACACAGAGCAGCTCCGCATCTTGGGCGGTTATCTCTTTCTGTAGCTGTACCTGCAGTGCTGCTTCTTCTTGGTACTGCAGCTGCAGTGCCGAGGGTGATGGTTGCCTTTGTTCTGTTGTTGTTTGTTCGCCGGCGTGGAAGCTGGGGGTTTGACCATGGGGTTCATCAGTGAAAGCTTGTTTCTCGCCCTCGATTTTGGGTTGCTGTAGTGGTGGTGCTTCTGGTTCGCCAGCTACAGCAGTAGCTTCGAAGCTTGTTTCTCCGACGTCGACTGCGCCGTCAGATACGTCTGTAAGCCCCTGCGGAGAATTCAACGGAGACGGCGAAGCGTCCTGCGCGGCGTACGACCGCACAGAGCTAATGAGAGTGGAGAGCGTGTTCGCAGCGTTTTCTGTCGGCATTGCAATAGTCGTGATGGTGAGAAAGGGGTAGTACGGTGATCGGATGAGTATCGAAGAAAATGATGGGGGGGAAGATCCGGAGTCAGGGTCAGTTGTTTGCTCTTTTTTTTTAACTCTAGAGTTAGTATGGGCGGGTGGGGAGGGAGTTTGCTCTGAGTAGAGTCATATATCTACGGGATTAGGCATGGCGAGGACTGTTTGCTTGGGTTGTTGGCAAACCTTGCCGGATGGTCATTGACACTGGCCGTAATGGGACTAGTGCGAAGGGTATCAATGATTGATCCAATTTTTGGCCATCGTGTAGTTCATGCGGTGCTCTGTAGTGCCCGGTTCTGTCGTTGCACTGGGAGAATTAAAGTAATCTATTGTATTTTTATAAAAGAATATAAATTGGAAAGCTTCACTAAACCCCCTAGGCCTATATCTGGCCCTGAACGGAGCCTAACGATGAGCTAATATAATGGAGGGGGGCCAAATAATGAGCAAGTGTCAAGCGAGAAGCTAAGATAGCTCAGGCTGCGATTATGGGGGCCAGAGATCTGATCGATAGTTATCTCAATACTGTAAGGTAGTGCGCGCGTGTTCTAATATTGGCTGTAGCAGAATTCAACCGAACTATTGGATGAGATCGAGAAGAGACAATTATGATATTGATAGGATTACTAGCTAGAGTTTCTAGCTTTATACAACATAATTGAGGACAGCTTGTCACGCATACGCCACCTATTCCTCTCCATAAGTCCACAGTCGTAGCATACGTAACGTAGGTTACAGTCACGTATCCGATGCCTAACCCTGCCATGGCAATCCCCCACGACGTACAACCTCTTGAGTATATATATATGGGTGTAAAGAAGATTGTATTTTGTTACTGTGCGTGCCCTCCCCTCTCCCCTTAGTATGTAATACGAATATGCCCCCGTCTCTTGTACTACATGTATGTACTAGGTGGTGTCCAGAGATCCATTCGTACATGTACTCCCTGCGTGCTACCAGATGAGGCCCCGCATTCTCACCATGACCGCTACACCGAACCTCTAATTTCCGGATCTAAATCCTCTACCACACGTCTACCTAAGTCTTTTGTTTTATTTACCCCACCATCTATCTACAGCACGAATTGGCCAAGTCTAAGCAGTCTTCTTTCCATGCTCCAACTCATACGCCCTATTAAACTCCTCCACATCCACCGCAAACGGGCGGATATAGTCGATCTCTAGCTCATGCACACGCTTGCCCAGCAGCACCAGCGAGTGCAACGGCGGGCCCAGATCGGCCTCCGAAAGCTGCTGCAGCGTGCCCGCCACAAACTGCTGGTCCTCCGAGCCGAGGCGGGACACGCCGATGGCGAGCGTGGTGGGTGAGTATGCTGTATACGGGCAGTGTGATAAGTAAGAAGTGTAGGTGGAGAGGGGAGGGGGTCACGTACCGCATTCGCCTTTCTCCTCCTCGATCTCGAGCATCTGTTGCGCGCACTGGGCGACCGTCATATACCTACCGCGCCGCACACCGTCAGCCTCCCTCCCCCTCCCAGTCCCACTAGATAGCAACCTACCTCGGCGGCTCATATACCCTCCTCCCCCTCGCCATATTCTCCAAACTCTGCTCCTTGACCTTGATATCCAGCAGCACCAGCGTATGCAGCCCCACATCCCTATTCTCCTTGATCCTATCATAAAAGCTCGCCGGCCGCCAGCTGTCCGTGAAGAACACCATCGACACCGTCTGCCCAAAGTTGTACAGCTGCAGCCCGCACGCGCCGATGGCGTTCATGATGGACGCATTGTGGATTGTGCGGAAGGGGATGGACAGCTCGCGCGCGCGCAGGAGCAGGTCGGTGTGCGTGGTGGCTCTCTCATGTGTGTTAGCTGGGAGGAGTAGAAATATCAGAGGAAGATTTCAATGTAGTACCCGAATGGATCACCGACGACGAGGAAGGCGACGTCGGTGCTGGCTGCGCCGGAGAGGATCTCGTCGGAGGAGGACTCGACCATTTCGCGGTCTGCGATGATTACCTCGCGGCCGTAGAACTCTTCCTGCTGCTATTAGAATGCTAGGGAGTATAAGACAGGGAAGGGAGGGGCACGAGTTTCTCCTTGTCAATCATGAGGATGCTGGTGTAAGCTTCGAGGTAAACGCGGGCGCATTTCTTGACGACCTCGAGGCCGGCGACGGTGATGTCTTTTTCGTTGGAGAGGCCGAGGCCGACGAGGTAGAGCATGGTTGGCTGGCGCTACTGTGTATATTATTAGAATGTATAAGGGGGTTTGTGGGGTTTGAGGGGTTTGAGGGCTGCTATGATAGCGGAGGTTTAATTTGTGGAGGTGGGGTTAATAGTGGGGGGTTAAGTTTGCATGAGGCTCTTGAGCGTCTGGTCCGTGCGCTTGTTAGCGTGACGAGTGATTGACTGTGAAGATTGGCAGATAATAAGGCCGCCTTGGTTAGTTATCGGGTCATGAGTGGACATCACTCGAGACTCAACACTACGAAAATATAGTTAAATGATAAATAAACATTCCGTTCCTGGACATAATTCACCGTAACTCGTTTACTCATAAAATCTACCATCAATCGTTATCCAATATGCGTCCCCCTCCACCACCCCCTCCACGCTGTTCGCAAAATACCCTAGTAGTAATAATACAAAGATCCAGAACCCCTACATAGATAGCCCCTAGTCCAAACAAGACGAAAAGAAAGTGAAGAGAAAAAAATAAAGAAAAAACCTAAACAACCTTCCATAGTCCCAAAGTGTCAAGGAAAGCACTAAAAGGTATATCGTAGAGAGAAAAAAGCAAACAAAGTGAGCAGAAAGACAAGCTCGGCAACCTGAAAAGTCCTTAAACACAAAAGACTTCTACAACATTTTGATGGAGGAATCCCTTCCACAAAGAGAAAGTCCCAAACCAAAAGACGCCTCATTTACCAGATGACAACGAAGCTGCTTTAAAAAAAAAAACGAAAAGACTTCCACCTTAGGAAAGGCTTAAAACAAAAGGATGATAAAAGAAGGGAAACACTAAATCGTTTAGGCTCGTAATGATTTATCATGCCTAAATTCCAAACAGCATCAAAATCTGCGCACAATTATACACCTTACTTCTCCGTGCCATCTTTCGAGGTAATTCCAGTCTACGAATTGTTCCTGTTATTGATCACCCGTTCTCGGTACCCCAGCCAATCCTCGAGCGCAGCCATATGCTTCTCTCTAGCTTGTCGGTAGGATTCCTCTAGCACAAAATCCTGCTCCTTGACCCTCTTGATATAATCCTTGATCGCATCCTGGTTCAAGTACACATCCTTGAGACTTCTGCTGCTCAAAATTGCTTGTTGTCTGCGCACTTTGTCTTCATAAGCGTTCCAGTTCTCCACATAGCCCTCGACGCTCACGAAAAATCGATTGTAGGTTGGCAGGTCTATCTCTCCAGGTGTTTTCGGAACCTTTGGTGGAGTTGGTGTGGCAAATGTATCCTCCATAGGGGTTGCGGGTCCATAGATATCTCGCAGGTCAGGCTTCAATTTTGGTAATGGGCCTGCGAAGAGAGGCTTTGGGGTGTTAGATGCTCGAGAGGGGAAAGGAAGGTTATCTTTCAGCTCATCGAGACCATTGAGTCCGACTTCAGCAGGGCTACGAATGAATGGTACGGTTGAAGCCAGGCTGCCCATGTTTTCCAATCCGTTAGCTTTCAAAGGATGAACAGACCCCAGCGTGTGCATTGTGTCTAATCCATCTTCCTTGGTTGAACGGGGGGAAATCGGGGTTGGCGCTCTAGAGCTAATATTCCCCATTGGGCTCCTAGGGCCCATGTGTCCATTCAACCTCATTGCTTGAATATTAATCGGATCGGGGATGCCGGTGTCTGGGGCAGTATCCATGGGCTCAAACCCTCCATCTCCAATGGGAGGACTTTGCGGTGCCGCACCCTGTTCGAAATTCTTCTGCTTTGGTGACGAAATATCATCGCTGTCTTCCTCTGATTCCACCCGAGCAGCCATACTATTAAGATTCACACTCTCCTTGCTCTTGCTTCTATATTTGCTGAAAGACTTGAAACTAGCAGCGCTCTTTTTCTTCTTGGGGCTGGTTGACAGGCGCGGTTCGAATGCTATTTGATTAAGGTTATCCCATAATTCCTTCTTGAATTCGCTGAAATCGCGCTGCTGCGGTGGCTGCATCTGCTGCCTTTGCTGCTGATGGGGCTGGGGTGTTGGCCGAGGTTTTGGAACAGTTTGTTTTTGTGTAGGATAGATAGGTTGGCTCTGTGGTCGAGTAAATGGGGCCGTTGCATGTAGCTTGTTTGAGTTGTGTATGCCATTGTCCTCAGGAGAAATGTAAGTAAAGGGATTAGGGATGTCCCTGGCTGTATGGAAATTGAAATCTGGAGTCTTTTGGAAAGGGCTATCTTGCGGAGGCGGGGGGGAGATGTGAGGCTCTGATCTATAGGAATCTACCCTAGCCATTCCAGGGGTGGGGAATTTGAAGCTACATCGCGCGTTAGATGGACGGCACACCTCTCTCTGTATAGGCAAGAAAGAATACCTAAAATCAGTCGAGCTTTGGCGTCTTTTGGAAGGCTCGAAACTGGGGCTCTGTCCCTTTGACTCTCCTGATCCTGAATCGGTAGCACTGTGAGGCCCAGATGTACGTGGGCGATCCGGTGAACTGGGCCTCTCCCGCGGTTGTGTCTCACTTTTTGTTCTGCCGTGGCCGTGGACATTATTACTGTCGCTACCCTTTTTGAGCATTTCTTCCCATCTCTGCTGCGTATCCCGCTGGTTTCTCTTGACTGTATCATAATAGCTTTGCTCCTCATCAGGATTTACAGAGGTGAAACGGGCATACGTCCCCGAGTGATCACTGCCGGACTTGGCTCCCCATCCATCCGTATCATTGGTCGCCCGTTCGTTATCGCGTCGCGCAGTATTAGGTTTATTTGGTGATCTCCTAGAATTGCTCCTTGATGTGGCCGTTTTGGACCTTCGCCCTTCGGCTAACCGCTCATCTGCCGTCCTCGACAAATCTTCATCCCTAAGGCCATGAAACACTGGCGGGTCTGCACGGAACTCACTTCCGGAATATTGATTGGTCTCCGACTGGGCCCAACGTTGTCTCCTTCTCTCCTCCTCCTCCTCCGCAGCTCTCATTGCCTCTTCCTCGGCTCTCCTCTGATCTTCCTGGGCTCTCTTCTGTTCATCCCTCCTCCTCTGATCTTCTTTCCGCTTTTTTTCTTCGGTGCGTCGTCGTTCTCTCTCCCTTTCAGCTGCTGCTTCTTCCTTTCTACGTCTTTCCTTGGCGGCCTCTTCTTCTTTTTGTCTTGCTTCCTCCTCCTCTACCATGGCCCTTCGCTCCTTGATATAAGCCCCGATATTGAAATCGGTGCCAGCAGCCGGATCCCGGTTTCCACCCACTGTTGAATGTGCCCTACGAGTTGAGGTAGAAGGCTTAGGGGTCCCAGCAGGTGTTGTGGTAGATTGCCTTTGGCTAGTACGGGTGTATGCACTCTCACGATTTCGTGGTGACTCTGGACGATATCCGCCTCGGTCATGATAATAACCATCGTAACTATCATCGAAATCATTAGTAGCTGGCTTAGGCGGTGTTGCGCGGTAGCTATTAGCGTAATCAAATCCAGAACGTTCAAATCCCCCAGAACGCTGCCTTCTAGCACTGCCATATGTGCTTGAGAAGTCTTCATAGGTCGACTTGTGCGCCCCAGTGTGGCGGGAGCTAGGTGTAGTATGTGCTTGAGCTTGATGTGCAAACCCTCTCCCAAAGGTAGCAGGAGGTGCGCCCCAGCTAGGCGTAGCTCCAGTTGCACCGGTAGATGAGCTAGAGGTGTAGCGCGTAGCTGTTTTCGACTTGGGCTTAGGGCGCTGGCTTTCGGGAATACCATGATATTGGTTATCCTCATCATATTTACTTCGTTCAAGCTGGTCCTTCAAAGTGTCATACGCCCTTTGAAGTTCCTGAAACTTTTCCTTAGCCATGGGGTCATCTGGGTTCTTGTCCGGGTGGGTGTCCCGAGCTACATATGGAGGATGCCGTCAGAATAAAGTCTAATTGGATGAAACATAGGTTTGAAGGAGCTGATAAGAAGCAGGAATGTGAAGGGTTTAGACCAACCAGCTTTTCGAAACGCCTTTTTAATCTCATCGTCGGTTGCATGCCGGTGGACAGAGAGTGTCTTGTAGAAGTCAACCTCACTAGGTGCCATTTAAATATAGTTGCTCCCGGGCCTCCGTGGTGGCCAGGAAGTAGGTTATATGGGCTTGGGGGCCGTGGTCGATCAACAAAATCGTTTTGGGTATCACCCAAATGGTAAAATTGATGTAAAGACTATTGTAGATCTTTAATGATTAGATCTGTTTGGCTAGGTAAAAGTCACCACTACTGAAGCTCGTGACTCGTTTGTGGGGTAAAATGTAGGCGTTTGGCTGTGTGTGTCTGTTGGTAGAAATCTGCTCGTGTGCAGCTACAGAGCGGGGAACCAACGAATCGTAATCCAAACAACGGGAGAGCGATGAGGAGTAAACAAGAGGAGGAGAATAGATGAAGGATAGGTAAGGTAGAAGGAAATAACGGATAGAAGGAAAAATAATGGAGGGGGGTTGAGTGGGGGGTCCGAGGAAGAAGGAGGGGGAGGGGGGCGGGTAGAGTTGCAGAACACTCAAATGATGTGTGCGGGAGGAGAAGGGGACGTGGTGTTGTTTTTCTGTGCGTATCTAGCGTGGAGGGGACCCTGGACTCTGGAGTAAGAAGTACATGTACTCTACTGAGATGTAAACTCTCCCAGATGGCAGATTCCCACACCTTCGCGCCCTCTCCCCACCTAACTCGTCCTTCTCCAATGCCTAGTCAACGAATAGAAGCAGGGATCTGCTTTCCCTCCCCGGCTTTTGGCTCCCTTCAAGGCAACCGTTGCTATGCTGGACAACGCATACTCCTATCACACACTCGACACTACATGATATGTGAGAAGGTAGCAAGGACAGACAGTCCCATATTCCATCGATCATCTCACGGGTCATTTTTGGACCCTCTTGAAGGGTCTTTGTCGAATTCTCTAGAAAGTCTCCCTCCTGGCCTCTGCGTCATTTGTTGTAGGTACATACTCTAGAGTATGCACCCTGAGTATCGAGTATCGACAGGGCCATTTTATTCATACTTGGACCATTCTGACGATCGCGGAGAACAGCGAGGTCCTGCCCGCCCTCAACAAGTTCCGTAACCCGATAAAGGACATATGTGTACAAGTTACCACTCACAAAATCTACTATGCACGAAGTACATATATGTACCTAATACCGCTCACCCACCTACCCCACCTATCCAGTCTGAATTAGCTAGTTGGCTTGTGTCTCGTCTTTCACGATTGTCTGCAGTTAGTTGAGCCTCCCTGCCCGGGAGCACATATGTGCAACCAGTAAAACTCTTAAGGGAAATTTCCTTTCTTCCAGTCTGCAGCCACCCGAAAATGGAAAAAAAAAAAATGATTTACTCCTTTTTTTTTTCTTCCTTCTCTTGACACGACATATGTATGCACGATAGCCTCACACACGCCCGGGCGTCTCGGGACGGACGGGAGTAGGTACGGGGCTTCTCATCGCATCGACCTGAAAACAATTTTTGATCGACGATGTTCAATACGTTGGTACTATCTCAATACGGTCATCTCGAAGCCATGCGGAAGTGATGTGATGCATGGCCTGGTTGATATCGCAGTGGGTATGTGGGTTTCACTCTAGATTACTCTAGAGTATGCTGACCGTAGTTTTCAAGCAAGCACATCTCTAACAAAGACCCTATCCATCACAGCGCAAGAAACGAGAGACAAGAGCACAGACAACAGCTAAACTTCAAGACGACTGATACCAATCTAATCTGGATAAGCAAGCTGCATTGTCACCCTGTGCCCTAGGTCTGTTAGGCGTTTCTTCAGTATTTGTCAATGTGGAACACCACGTCCCGACAACAAGATTCAATCAGCCGGAATACCATGTTTTTGAATGTCTATACACGTGTACTTCAGGGTTGTGTATTATCTTGAGGCCGGGTGACATGTGGAGTGTAGGTCAGGAGACGTTAGAGGTCAAATTAAAGTTGCCTGTATGCTTACGAAATAAGGCCCCTTCCCCGTGTGTATTCATACTATCCTTTTAGCGCAAACCCCACGTGTGGTGACATAATATGCCATACTCAATTCTAGAAGCTGAAGGGCCTACCTCCGAGCTCCATTTGCTCCATTTGTCTCATAGTAGGCGATCAACTACGTCATTATAGCATGCACAACTGTATCGAGCGTTTGACATTTTTCAGGAACAAGTTAAAGCTTCATCGATCTCAAAAGGCCACACCTCGGCCCCTACATCGCGGAAACTTCAAAAGCAACGAACACGTCGAGGGGGATTTTTTTTCACTCGGGCGGTGGCGACCTTTGTCTTCTGAGACAGGGTCCTGGACTCCTGATGATCTTTTTGTACGAGAATCTTATGTAAACCTCACATGGTGAGAAATCGATCATTGACATCGACTCAATGTCTATATGTACATACGTACAACTAACCCTTGACGGCATCTGAACAGTGTGTGTATACGATAGGTACCCCAAGATTAAATGTTTGCTCAAGATGTTCTAGAAATTGCGGTAGAATAAGTACATACCCAGGGATCTTAATTCCAAAAGACCTATGGATCTACTGTATCGTATGATATGCATCTAACCCCAGATTGGGGCCACAAAAATTCCCGTAAGGACGCATTTTTGGGAAATCCCTCCATCAAACTACAAGAATCAAGCTGGCCAGCCCCCTGGAAACAAAAAAAAGAGACCGGATAAAAGCAATACTTAGAAAGAGGCTCGTGTTAGTTACGCCACATTCTCTCTGTGGATTAATATTCCGGGTAATAGAGATGTAGCTAGGCCACATGTATGTAGTAGGTACAAGTATTTTTTCTCCAGAATACGAGTTCATGTATTGCGAGTTGCCAAAATTAACCGGACGCTCTCCTACAACCACCCAAACCAAATAGGCCACAATAACTAAGCTTTCAAATACCTGCGATTGAGCCCATATTAAAACCTGAGATGGTACAAGCATAGAGAATCACAGATATAACACCTCTTGACTTTTCCAGCTGTGGTTGTGTTGCAAGGCGATGTTGAAGTTACATTCCCAACTAAATTTGGTTGTAACGCAGTGTCCGGTTAATTTTGGCAACTCGAATACCTACAAATATCAACCTCGTAAGCTAAGTATTGTTCGCCGGATCAATGGAGTTGTTACATCCATCCTTGATTTGAGACCGGTTGATTTCTTTCTGGCCTCGAGGGGCCGTCGGCAATGCATGCCTGTATTCAACACGCTGGCCGAGGATTGCCAAGTCCCTGGCCGAGGAGGACAGATTTGATGCTAGAGAGCATGATAACGAGAAGTTCGGCCTGCTTGGTTGAAACATTATTCGAAGCTGAACATCGCATCGGTCGATACTACCACGGTCACTAGTGCCTTTATCTATTCTGTATCTTTACAAAGTAGGAGATATGTGCCTGTCGATGTTGAGAACGCAATAAGCGGCCAAGGGGTAGAGACGGTCCTAGGTAGTCAGTGGAGCTATCGTGGAGGCAATAATGTCATTATTATGATTAATTCCCTCCGCACGTTCAAAGAAAGCTCCTCCCAATCGAGGATCCAGACCACTCACTCAAGAATTCGCCGAGCTCTCCTCTCCACTCCACAAAAATATCCGGGGGCAGATCAAATCCCTGGTTCACTTGGCTGCACTGCAAATCAGCCTCAACGCCTGGAAAAATTCAAATCGAAAAAGCATTATCCCCGTTTCACACACACACAGACACACACACACACAACCACCACAAACACCAATACCGCGACCTGAGCTCTACACCTGTTGTCATGAATGGGTCCTCGACAGCGATCATGCCGCCACCAGCCTCTAACGGCTCCAGCATCTCGAGTTCAGCCGCCAGCCACCACAGCGGCGTCGGCGGCGGCGCTATTCCTATGATGGCTGCCCCTGTAGGAGGAGTAGGAGCAGGAGTAGGGGCAATAGCTGCGAGGGATAACAATCCACTCCACGCCTACCAGCAGCAGCTCCAGGCGTCCCAGGCTGCTCTAGGTCAGCATCCTTCGTATCAAGGTATGCGGGTCGCCGATGTGATTGATTGATTATGATGGAGGAAGAGAGGAAAGGAGCGATGCTTTGGGCACTCCTTGGCCCTCTCTTCCTTGCTGGGAGTCGATGTACCGATATGTATAGTAGACTAACTGCTCACCCTTCCCATGTGGGATGGTTTTGATTTCTCTTTAGGCCAGTCTTCAGTTTCGTCGTCACTGCAAGTGTCACAACAGGCATCTCAGCAGCAACAATCGCCGTCCACACCCACCTCGGCCTCGTCAATATCGGCCTCATCAATAGCAGTACATCAACAGCAGCTGCTGCTCAACAGACAAATGGAATCTCAGAACCAGCTACAGCTGGACAAGAGCCGTGTCACGCTCCTCCTCGAAATCAATGCAGAGCTTCTAAGGGAAACGGTGTCCATCCAGGCCAATGGGAAAAGCCCATCGCAGCCCGGCGAGGAGAGAGCTGGGCATGACAAGGGGTTTTATGAGTACGCGCAAAATATTCTTCCTTCCTTCGTGACTTCGCACCTTGTTCTCGCCATATATCCTTCTCCCGGGGAAAACTAATAAGCACAGTTGAACCCAAGAACTAATGAGATATCACTCACAGGTGTATGCGTCGCCTCCAATGCAATCTTGCCTATCTTGCCGCCATCGCCGACCGATCCCACAAGCCCGCCTCACAAGTCCCGCCCTCCCCTAACATTCTCGTCCCCCCTCCGGACATGCCAGTTCTGGCAGACCTATACAAGCGGCTACAGGCGCTATACCCAGGTGTAAAGCCCACCAACCCTCCCCCGCTCGACCAGCAGCGACAGAATGCCAACTCCCAGGGAGGCCGAGGCAGCCAGAACGCGTCGCCAAAGGTGGTACCTGTAGACAATAAGCCACAACCTCCGCAGACACCTCAACATGCGCAGATGCCTCGACACGCCGCGTCGCCGACGCCTCCTGCGCAAATATCGCACCAGATGCCGCCTCAGCAGCAGCAACAACAACAGCCACAGCAGCCAATGCAGCATATAGCGGGCATACCGGGAATGCCAGGGCAGCATGTACAGTACTCACAGCAGCAGAATCCTGCCCAGCATAATCCGTCACAGATGGTGCAGCACCAACAACAGCCACAACACCAGCAGGGCATCAACCCGAACTATGCCCACCTTCAGCAGCAGCGCCACGCCGCAATGATGCAGGCACAGGCACAGGCGCAAGGCCGCCAGATGCAGGCTCAGATAGGTGGCATCCCCTCGAGTATGGGTATGAACCCCGGTATCGTGTCAACCGGCATGAGCAATGGGATTCCCGTAACTTCAATGGGGCAGCACCCGGGGATGCCACAGCAAGCAATGATGGGAAATATGGCGGGTATGGCGATGGGGATGGGTCCACAAGGGATGGGGTCACAAGGGATGGTCCCTCAAGGGATGACGCAGGGGATGGGCGTCCCGGGCATGGGAGCACCGATGGGAGTGCCGGGCATGGGGGCTCCGGGCATGGGGGCTCCGGGCATGAATATGGGCATGCCGGGCATGAATATGGGCCCTATGAACCCGGCTATGAACCCGGCTATGAACATGGGGATGGGGGGGATGAACATGAGCATGGGGAACATGGGCGGCATGGGCGGCATGAGTGCGGGCATGGGCGGAGGCATGGGCCAGCCGGGATTCCAGGAGAACATGGGCCAGGGCATGTGGAATGGAGGTTGGCCCGGGCAGGGTTAATAATTTAAATACTATTTTGTAAACTCTATATTTTTAGTTTGGTGAGCATGAGGGGTTGTCTTTTATCTTTTTTTCTTGTTATTGCTGCATGCATTCTTAAGGAGCTTTCGTATCTTTTATTCTGGTTCCTGTTGTTATATTGCTATTTTATATCTTTGGCGAAAAATGGGTAAGGTGGCGGATAAACCGCCAAAGTCTGGATGCTGTTTATGGTTGTGATGGTTTCTAGCTGGTTTCCATGTCTATTTCTTGCTTTTTTTGTCTCTGGGATGGATTTTTGTGGTTTGTTTCCATGTATTTTCTTTTAGGGGGGACTATCCTCCAATTGCAATAAGATATCAAGTACTCGATAATGCCCAGATACAGCAGCTTAAGTTGTCAATGTCAAGTGCTCGCTATTATCCTGTGTTGGGGGTGTGCGATCATAAGGGACTAGTTTTCCGTCGTACTTGGGACAGGTGTTTTCCACTTTCTCTCAGAACATGGGATCCAATTTTAGGTTGAATAAGCATTTCAAACTGAACCAGATCTCATGATGCCACATTTTTAGAACCCGATACAAATTTTTGCCTATGTACCAACGGAAATCTACATACAAGCGGTGATAAAAATTCATCATGATATGAAATATATAAACTACTTGGAAACTTTAATGTGAACTATATCGTATCGAAATGTTTTCTTGTAGGGAGCGATGTCTAAACAACCTAAAAGTCATTGGGAGCCTGTATTGGACAAATTTTGGAAAGAGATGATTGATTCATAACTTTCTTCTACCCTATTAGTTCTATTTCGATTGCTACTACAAAACGTACTTCTTGTACCAGAATTCGAAGAAAACACCCGCTTGTGAAACGATATCATATTGACAACTTTATGCAAACCGCCGAAAGCGGTTAGCCCACTGCCTAGAGCCGCATCATTCGTAAAACCACCATGGCCAGCCAACTGCCAATCGCGTCCAAGAGGAGATAAAGGTTAAAATGACGGTACTACAAGTTGCCCGATCCAGTGCACGTGGTCTGAAGCTGTTGGAGAGAAGTATTACGCGTAAAACTCCCTCATATTCTACTAGTAGTTCTTCGATTTATTGGCTTGGAGGATTATACTCTACCATAAACAACGTTACAAACCGTGTAATATTCCTGCAAGCAAGCTATTTCAGTACGACTACAAGGGAAATGTCTGGTAGGTGCCCAGAATCATTTGCAAATATGTATCTGCTAAGGTTTATCGAGTAACACAGATTACGGCGGACATCCATACAGAGGCGGAGGTGGTCGCGGAGGTGGAGGATATCGTGGGAGAGGTGGTGGAGGTGGTGGCAGAGGTGGTGGTTTTAGTAGAGGTGGTGGCGGTGGTGGTTTTAGCAGAGGAAGACCACCTACTGAGGGCACCCAATCTACACCTTCTCAAAGTCCCAGACACCAGCAGCAATTGGAAAATATCCTCAGAGGACTGCATAACCAGTCTTATGGTAATTATTTTCCCATAGCCAATTTTACGGAACTTTGTTAATCGGTATTTGGTTGGTTCTAGGGAATTATAGAGATCTTGGTAAGACCAATATCTTATCCAGGCAAACGAGCGATATTACACAATAACCAATGCATTACTGATATGTAAATCTTTATATTGCAGAGGGTTCATACAACTGCACTCATGCCACCGAAAATATCGATTACCAGCTCTTTATCGATAAAGTTCAAAGTGACAGCTTTGCCCCTCCATCCCGTTTCCGAGTCAAGGTCGCTACAAATGATGCAGGAATCCCGGGAGATACATTCAATACCCGTACTAGGTAAGGCGCCCCTTGCCTCCCCATAAATGCCCACAAAATGCTCATTTCCCTACTCTCCGCCTTACAGAAAAATAGCCTTCTGTGACTACATCACTCGACAAGTGCAACAAGTCATTACATCCCACGGTCTCGACGTGAGCGAAAGCGGCCGCGGATGGTCCGGCCCTAAAGGTGGCGACTTTGGTATAAACTATCCTTCACAGCAGGTCCTTGAGCGCACCAGTTGCCTGATCCAGGACTCGTTCATCGAACTGCGGTTTACGCTCAATTTGCCTGCACGGGGACGGACTATTCTTGCTGATGCAGCCCAGGACCTGATATTGAAGCAGATCCCGGCATTGGTCCAAAAGGGTCTTTTGTGGAAGAACCTTGACTCCAGGAAAGTTGGGGAGCATATAAGGTCTATAGAAGTCCAGGAAGCGCTCAGAGAAGCGTTGGGAAAACATAATCTGGTGGCTTTTGTGGGGAATGGCTCAATTCTTCCGAGAGTTTCGGGGGCGAGCCCCTACCCGATGTCAAAAGATATAGCGGTGCCATTTGTAGCACCAGAGTCCTTGAAAGTGTGTTGCTTTCTGAAATCTTCTTGAGTAGTGGCGGGTTGTTAATGGCTGTAGGTGAGAATTGAAACCGATGTTCTAGATCCCGCCGGAGCCAAGATCGCAGTCGAGGGTATGGGAATTCCTCGTGGAGTTACCGTTCTTACTGGCGGTGGTTTCCATGGTAAAACTACACTATTAGAAGCATTGGTAACTATATACCTACTCGCAACTCGAGTGCCTCGTCGAGCTCTAACCTTTGATATCAGGAATTTGGAATATATAATGTTGTACCTGGCGATGGCAGAGAACTCGTAGTCACCGACATCAACGCATTCAAAATCCGCGCCGAAGATGGCCGGAATGTCGTTGGAACTGATATATCGCCATTTATCAATAATCTCCCAGGACCACACACCACCACGACGAGCTTTACCTCGACAGATGCTTCAGGGAGTACCTCTATGGCTGCAAATATCCAGGAGGCCGTTGAGATTGGTTGGTTCAGACCTTGCTTTCCATGTTTACTATTTCGGAGGCTGATATTGATTTAGGCGCGACTACTTTGCTGATCGATGAGGATACGAGTGCTACTAATTTCCTGGTGAGGGATCGTAGGATGCAGGAGCTGATTAAGTCCGAGCCGATCTCGCCTTTTGTCTCTAAAGTCCGTCTTCCAGTGATATTGATACTGCAATATAGTTGCTAATTATCTGATAACTTTGCAGGCAAAAGCATTATTCGAGAAGTGTGGTGTTTCGACTGTAATTATTATCGGAGGTAAGATGGTTGCTCCACTAACGCCTTTCTCCGTCTGTACTAATATCTCCCTTCTTAGGATGCGGCGATTGTAACTATCTCCATAGCCCCCATGAAACACCCACTGCAGATGACTAATATCTCATCAGACCTAACCATCGCCGATACTGTCATTGGAATGGAGTCCTACCATGCTCATGACATCACCCCCCGTGCACGCGAGATTGTTGCGCAATTCCCTGTCACCGTCGACCAAGACGACACCTACGGCAGCGTCACTAAACGAATTCCGATCTTGCCAGACTTCCATCGTCTCACACACTCACCCCGTGCTCAAGGCATGCGCAGTATTCAGCGCCGGGACCGCGAAGACGAGGCTGTGGACCTCTCGGGGCTGGATCAGCTGGTCGAGGAGGGGCAAACGAATGCGTGTGCCGAGTTGCTCAACCTTATGCCCAAGTCAGGACTGAAATATACGATGGAGCAATGGGCGAGCTACCTGAAGCGCGCTTTGGATGAGGGTGGTTTAGATACGCTGAGGGGTGGGTCAGTGGTTGGGGGTAAGCTGGTGAGGTGCAGGGAGTTGGAGATGTTGGCAGTGGTGAATAGGGTTAGAGGGTTGCAAGTGCAGAGAAAGAGTTGAGTGATATCCCCATGGTGATTGTTGAGGGTAGGTTAGAAATATCTGTCTAGACAATCTCAACAATATGCGAGTGATATTTCATGAATCAATAGAATCCCAGCAGTTTTAAGGTTAAGGTTTTGATGACGACGACGTGACCGAGAACATGCAGAAACACACGACCCTTACGGTCCCTCAGTTAAGTTATAAAGTCTATGGAGCTATGCCACTTCGACTTATAACCTCTCCCAAGACTCCCAAGAGACTAGGCAAAAGTATGAGGGTTAGGTTTCACAAATCTCGGAGCTCTGGAACCCGAGGGCTGAGGACCGAGTGCAGATGTATGATTACAAACCAGACTGGCTGGCGGCGCCACTCCGGCAAGGCAATGCAGGATCATATACATCCCGTCTGCCACGCCTGCGGTGAATATAAAAAATAGATCTAGGTTCTTAAATTCACAAACCTCGACCTCGTGAGTACCCGGAACCAAATCAAAGGCTGGCCGAATCGGAGTTCCTGCATGTTGTGGGAGATAAGGATATGCGCACCCTTCCATGAAAACAATAATTTCGCATCAAGTAAGGGATCGGTGTGGTTAATTTCTCCTGTTTACTCATGGTGCCAAGCCCGGGTAAGTCAGATGTAAATACATCATCGGTCAGAGCCACTGAATTGGCAGAGGTTGATGGAAGGATTTCGTTCCGTAAATTTAAATCTTGACGTGTTATTAAAAAAGTGCTTGGACACTGCATCTCTAACTGGAGCAGAGTTCCCATCGGCTACAACATTCTAGTTTATGGACCGCTGGATCCCATTCCGTCTCATATTTAATTAACTGGTGTTAGGCATAGGCACAAGGCGAGAAGGCTTGAGCATGACGATCCTAAGATCAAATAGCCCAACCGAAGCCAGCCTCCAGCTTACTCCTTTGAAAGCTCCGCGATCCGGCTCTGACGTCTCAACACACATTCATAGGTGATGTTACGAAGGAATGTTCGATAGTTTCTTTGCTATAATATTACTTCATAAGTCATCCTGGAATACATATTACTACATGCATTTATATAAACTTGATAGGACGTATATGTATACCTAGACTCGAACCACATGAATACAGTCTAAGCGGCCTAGGAAGATTGAGCTGATGATCAGCTGAACCGTGCCATCACTGAGAAGGATCTGGAGGGCAAGAGCTGTGAAATATATGCATACGTAATCTTTTTTGTTTAATTCATTAATTGCATGCAATATGCATACGTAATTAAAAACTAGCACTTTTGTTGACGTTGCAACAGCATTGTGAAAAGTGTTCTCAATTGCAAACTACATGTAATTAACATATAACTTCAAAACTTACTTTTTATTGCGATACCTGGTGTGATTGGTCTCCACTACAATCGATACTTCCGTGGCTCTCGCTATCGTCCGGTCCTTTAATGTGTCGTATGACCGGTTATACACAGCTGGAGGTGGGCATCGATTCCCAAGCAATATCACTTCATAATTGCCACAAGGATGTCCCCCTCTTTAGGTCTTTAGGCCATTCAATTTTCACATATACACCACTAATTTAGTTCAGCAGATGGTCACACAGGACGTTGGAATTCCCCTATCTGGCGCTAATCTTCGCTCATACTCGCCATAAAAGGTAACTTCGACGTCTTGTGTGACAGTGGACGTCCGCTAAATCATAAAGTTACAAGCCAGTATTACAAGAGCGATATTTTTTTTATTTAAAATTTAGCCTCCTGATCACAAAGAGACAATATCGAACTATTACCACGCATTATTGGGAGCGACCCCGCAGCTCAGCCGAATGCTCCGAGATACCTAGGTAAAAAGAAGGGAAACACGGCTTTCCCAGCGTGTGTGTGTCTGCGAGAACAAAAATTGTGACGTGACACAGGTTGAAACTTCCGGCATGGGAGTCATCCCCGGCCCCAGCAAGGACCTAATAAATAATTATTTACTTCCCAATGCGGGTACCAAGAACTCTCTACCATAGTTAATAATCAACTATTACAACGGGAATGACATGTTCCGAAAATCACTCTCAGCAACCAACATAGCCTACAGGAAGGGGTTGTGTGGATTCCTGGTCCGTCATGGTTTCTCATTCGGAAACCGTTAACTGGTGGAGGTATATACCTAGCTAGGTTCGGCTGTCGGCAGTGGAGAGACCAGATACAGTATATTCTCCGGCCTTTCTCGAAGACCATTAAAATCCCTGTCCAGGACCTTTTGAACATGCGGTTGTATAAGCAGATGGATGCCAATGAGAAATGTCTCTGAGTTCAAACAACAATTTCAACATGGTAATTAACGTTTGTCCATGCGCCAAAGCACCAAGCACGAGTGCCACCACCACCACCACCACCCTGACGTTGATCTCAAAAATTTGAAACTAAGAACGGCCCGGCGCTTTACACCTCATCAGGGAGATCGACATGCCGACCGGGGTCCGAGGGGGAGGCCCGCTCGGAACCCGAAGCTTCCGGGTGCTATCTAATTTAGGTAACTAGAGGACGTCACCTTGGGGTTAGCGTGAATCCAAACTGTTACTGCTCAGTTGAGGGACTTGCTTGTCCACCCACAGGATAACTATTCCCAATTAAAATTTATTGCCCTTAAACGCAATGCCTCGACAAAAAGGTGCTGTTGATAGGTCCGTTTCTTGCACTTCCCTGGGATATACTATGCTTCGTAATCGATGCTACGGAGCTCCGAGTGCTAGCGTCACATGGTGGACCCGGTGCCACGAAAGGGGCACGATGGTGATTGCCCATAGCTGTCTGCCAGTTCCTGTTTTTGTCATTCCAGCAGTTTGATGCCCACCGTGTGGGGTACCAGCCCAAATGATCCTGCATGGTCGCCGGCTGTGATGAAAGCCGTTTATACCTAATATATTGTCTCCAGCCATGCCGATTTTCCGAACCTTTGATACATATAGTACCCTCCCCCACGATGATATCTACAATTCATACCATTCAATCCATATCATATATTCTCGTCCTACAACTTCAAAAATCAAACTCTCTAAGATCATCCAAGCTGATATAAATTTTCAAAATGGCGCTGTTGTCGAAGTTGTCAGGAGCACACCATGTGTCAGATCTTAACGTGATAGATCTAATGACGATCTCAGGGGTGCTGGTAAGCTTGATTTTAGCCTTACACCTTACCCAAGTACTACCATGTACTAATTAACCTTAAAAATCAGGTTATTGTTTATTTTGTCAGTCACGCCATTTACAACATTTACTTCCATCCTCTTTCAAGGTTTCCGGGGCCTAAGCGTGCCGCTGTATCATATGTTTGTCTTTACTCTACCTATTTTATATTATAATGTGAAGAAGTAACTAACCATATCCTACATCACATAGGCATGGCTTATGCGTGTTCTAACTTCAGGAACGTCCCCGCAAACCCACAAGGAGATCCACGATAAATATGGCCCCGTAGTTCGAATCTCCCCCAACCAGCTCTCATTTTGCTCTGCAAGCTCATGGAAAGATATCTACGGCCATGTTGGTGGAAGACAACAATTCCTCAAGTCTGATACTTATCAGAACGAGTACCACCCCAACATCGTGTCTGCCCGGGACCCCGCTCAACATGGACAGATGCGCAAACTCCTCAGTCACGGATTCTCACAGAAGGCGCTGATGGAACAGGAGGATATCGTGCATGAATATGTCGATTTGTTGATCAAGCAAATCCAAACCCATGCTACTAATAAGCCACAGGGTGAGGAGATGGTAAAGTGGTACAATTATATCACTTTTGATATTATTGGAGATTTGGCTTTTGGGGATCCTTTTGGTAGTTTGAAGAGTGGTATGTTCATTCTTTCTGAGTACCAATTGGCGAAATTTAATACTAACATATTCCACAGCTGAACCTCATTTCTGGGTTGATTCTATTTTCACCAGTATCAAATTTCTTCCATGGATAACTGTATTCAAGAGACTTCCAATCACCAAATACATCAAGCAGTACATCACCCCGCCAGGTGCCGGCGAGGCAAGGAAGGCCCATTTCCAGTACAGTCGTGACAAGATCATTAAGCGTATGAACAACAACACTCCTCGCAAGGATTTCCTCACACGTATCCTCGCCGCCAAGGAAGCCCAAGGCATCTCAGTTGACGAGCTCCAATCCCACTCCAACGTCTTCATTCTCGCTGGCTCTGAAACCACTGCAACCTTCCTCTCAGGATTCACCTATTACCTCTGCAAGAACCCCAGCGCATACGCCAAGCTCACCAACGAGCTCCGTGAGGCCTTCCAGAACTACGAAGACATCGATGGCATCTCTACCGAGAAGCTCAAGTACCTTAACGCGGTCATTGATGAAACCCTTAGAATCTACCCTCCAGTCCCAGTTGGCATGCCAAGAATCAGCCCTGGAGAGACCGTTGACGGAAATTTTGTTCCCAAGGGAACTGAGGTCTATGTTTCCGCGTGGGCCGCTACGCACTCAGAAGCGAACTTCCACAAGCCGTATGAGTTTATCCCAGAGAGATGGATCGATCCCAACTGCACCGATAAGAAGGAGGCCAGCCAACCTTTTATGCTTGGCTCGCGTGTCTGCTTGGGCAGGAATTTGGCACTCCTTGAGATGCGTGCTATCGTTGCCAAGATGATGTGGACTTACGATATGGAGTTGAAAAGCAAGGACTTGGACTGGGATCGTGACAACGAGTGCTACACACTGTGGAGAAAGCCTGCTTTGAGGGTAAATTTCACCAGGAGGAGCGGTATTGTAGTGCCTCCTTTGGACCACTAAGTGTGCGACATTGTTTTTTCTCAATTTCGTTTATATTTTCATTATGGTTTTGAGTTCAGGCGTTTCTCTATAAAAATCGGTCGTTTACGATGTATCTCTCCCTTTCTAAACAAGTGTGGCATACAGGAATATCTAGCTAGGTCTCAAAAAAATCAAATTCCTGAATCCAAAAAATTGCAGTTTCCTCCGAGTGATACCACATGATTACAACCCTTACCCACCACGCCGTT